TTATTAACGACGACAACGACGGACAAAATTTTTCCCTTAATATACCTTTCCCTTCCATCTTTGATGGTACGGGCAAGGTAACAAAACTGAGATGAGTCTGCCAGAACATGAAACAAATAACATGGTGTATAATATAATGAAGTTTGATTGCAATCAGTCAGTGTATGTCAGACATCGTTCAACAGCATTTGTATTCTGCCATTTAGAATTAATTTTTGGGACACTAATCAAAATCCAGGAAAATGAATTCAAAGAGAAAACTGAAAAGATCACTAATATTTGGATATGTTGATATAGTACTGACATATTTTCAGCAATTTGTGCAATTTTAGACCATCAAATATTTCATGTCTTGTAACAAAGTATTAGAAATCATCTCAGAATGCAACTTTTTGTATATTACTAGATTGTTATTGCAAAATGTATGCAAACATACCATCAGGATGGCCAAAACAGAGTCCGAGCAATTATCAGTTTTGACAGTATCATAAAAAATAACAGGACTGATAACTGCAAGATGATGTTCAAATTCAAACATGCATTCCATATCACACACGCATAATCTAAGAAAATCTGATAATTAGGTTTTTGAATGTCTATATAAAAAGACATTAAGCAGTAGAACCAGTGAAACAGAGGCTTGCAAGTAATAACACACAAGATGTAAGCGGTACATCTTTCTAATCCCTTTCATGTATTCTGCTATCTTTAATGTCAACAAGCCATGCATGGCACAGTCCCAGTTAGTTATCAAATTTAAGATATATAGTTTTGTTTATAGTTATATAGCTGGAACATAAACATGTCACGAATATGATTATGATGATTGTTTAACTTTAAAATGATTGACATTCTTGTATCTGATCGTCAAACGAGTATTGAGAGATATTGCTCTGGAGCAGCAATAATTAAAACAAAATCAGCCATTTTGAATACATGTATAATGAATATATAAAATTTGAACATAATCAGTCAAAGCATGTCACAGATATGGCACTAGAGCTGCATTCATTAATACAAAATGGCCACCAGTCGGCCATTTTAAATCAAATCTGAAAAATAAAATGACGTGCACCAGGAACCCATAATGTCTACTGTATGTACCAAGTTTGAACAAAATCCATCCAGAAATGCTTGATATTTGGTGATTTTTTAGTACCAAAATGGCCACCATTCGGCCATTTTGAATAGGATCGTCAAACCAATATATCTGTATATCTATGACATGATTTATAATGAATATTTAAAATTTGAACAGTCTAAGCAAGTCAGAGATATGGCACAAGAACCACATTCATTAATACAAAATGGCCACCAGTCGGCCATTTTTAATCTTATCTGAAATACAAAATGGTCTTATAATGTCTAACGTATATACCAATTTCGAACGAAATCCATCTGTGAACAGCCGAAAAATTCTTGAATCAGATTGTGAAACAAATTGATGTGCATATGTATAATATCATGTATGATGTATGTGTGAAGTTTGATTGTGATTGGTCCAGGCATTTCTAAGATACAAGTCTGGACGCACGCACGGACACACGGACGTCAAAACATGCGTCCGAACGGGGACTAACAATAAAATTGAGTAGAGTTATCATGCATGCAATTTGTGTGCCGCTGCCAGCCTTACTGTCAAATTAGTTAGATATAATTAAAAATATTAACCAATGTGGAAGATATGTCATGACGTACAGACACAGTATAATGAAAGACACAAGATTGGATTTCACGATGTTTAAGCACTGAAGAAATACACAAACATTTATTTTTCATACATGCATACATTAACGTTTATATTAACTATGTTTCTATTATGTCAAAAAGCAAAGTAAAAAAAATTGAATATCAAAAGCAAAAATGGTATAATTTAAAATTTTATTAGCTCAAGTAAAAGTAAAACCGGCTTCTTTATATGATGTGAAGATTTTCTCAATAGCAAGAACAAATGCTGCCGTACGGAGATCAAGACCAAGGTTGTATTTCATTGCTGTTCGCATTATATTCTGAAATAGAAAATGATTTATGAGAAGATTAATAATATAATGTAATGTATGATCAAAGGTAGACCACAAGCAGCCTGTCGGCTGAGATAGCTCTGCTGTTAGCAATGCACATTTCAATTAAAGAACAGAAGATATCATTAGAAAATGAACAATATGTATAGTATCAAGCAATGGGACTTGCTGTTTTCAACAAGAATTCAAAAATATCACTTTTTACCAAAAATTACAAAAATATTCACCAAAATTAGAGAATTAAAGATATTACAAAATGAACAAATCTGCGAGAGGTCCACATGTAGTACCTATAAATGTAATATCAAAGCAATTGGACTTGCGGTTTTCAACAAGAAGTCGAAAATATCACTTTTTACCAAAAATTACAAAAGTATTCACCAAAATTAGAGAATTAAAGATATCATTACAAAATGAACAAATCTGAGAGAGGTCCACATGTAGTACCTATATATGTAATATCAAAGCAATTGGACTTGCAATTTTTAACAAGAAGTCGAAAATATCACTTTTACCAAAAATGACAAAAATATTCACCAAAATTAGAGAATTGAAGATATCAACATGACGACGACACACAATCGCTCATATGATAAGCTCCGCTCGACGAAGTCGACAGCAGAGCTAAAAAGTACAGTAGAATACTTTATTTTCGCTTGGAATTTATTTTCACTGTAGGGATGATTCCGTGAAAATAAAATCCAGCGAATATACTTTTTTTCCTATATTTCACATTAAACTCATCAAAAATCAGTGAAAATAAATTCCATACAAAACGGCCAAAAAGCCTTTTCAGCGAAAATTAATTCCAGCGAAAATAAACTTTTCCACAGTATTATATATTATAGCATTATCAATACCAGTGGATATTATGACGACATTGCTACAGATTATTCGTGATAATGTATCCCATTATTGAGCATCAAGGCCCCATACCATGGCTATGAATACAATGTTGTTTTCAAAAACGAATACAGAAGAAGGCATTTAAAAAGAAGAAACTATGATGCAATAAGTATTTAATACTAAAATTGGCATGAAATAAAATGATCCATTGCCAATAACAATGAATTTCAATATTGGAATCAGACAAGTCTGTGAGAACATTGTTTGCTTTGTATACTAAAGTGCAATCATTCACAGCGTTCCATCCATCTGCTTTTTGTAGTGAGTAGTGCTACATTATTTGCAAAACAAGATCGATGAAAGACCGACATGACTTGTATTTCCTCAACTCAACAATAAATGTCACAGTCTGTTATGCAGACATGACAATTACCATTAACATTTAGCTTGATGCTTTGAAAACACTCATGGGATTGGGTTAACATACGACTATGTACATATACTCTGGTATGCGCATCTAAGTATTTTGGTAGTCAGTCGATTCGCAGTGGCAATCTGAGTAGAATATGTGTACATGAAGCCAAGACTGGGCACCAAGCTGGCGTACCCGTGTGATCAATACTTGAGCGATCACTATAATGCTACTCCACACCGAAACATCAGTCATTGGCAGTGTTAAAGTAAATGATTTAAAATACAATAGTATTTGATGGATTAAAACTAGTTTCTTTCTCATGTGATTTTGTCATCTGTGATTTTGTCATATGAGATTGGGAAAATGAATTTTAAATAAAGCAGATTCAGGGGCCAGTGACTGTGAAACTGTTCCATTCAATGATATTGACAATGCTACAAGAAAACTTTTTGTTCCAAATATGTCACACAAAGTGTGTTTACACAGATTATTGGTGGGTCGTCCATTACAGTTAAAATATTTCATAATCTTACCCTTGAAGATTTTTCCATGGTCTGTGCCAACCCACTGTGTACAATGTCTTTTTCACTTGCTCCAGCAATTTTATTTTGGAATTGATCAGATGGAGTAATCGGAATTTTACCACCATGACTGCCAAATTTACGCTCCAAGCTTTCTTGTACACTTTCTGGAATTGGAGAACAATTATTATAATTATTGTAGTAAGACCAGAGATCATGATACCAATACTTTAGCCTATCTATAACAACTGAAGTACTGCCTAGGATAGAAATGGGGTTTGAATAGCTATTTAGAGTTGATTTCACTTACCCAAGATTCCAAAATTTGACTCTCTCTCATATTTAAATGTAAGACGTCCATAACTGACGTGATTCAGATTCTTCAGCCATTCAAAGTATGACACAGTTACACCACCAGCATTCAGGAATAGATCCTACAAATGAAGGGAACAATGTTTACACAATGTTAAAAGTAATATGCAGCTAAGTGCGACAGGCAACAGTGCAGGTGTCAGACGAGTGCGACAGGCAACAGTGCAGGTGTCAGACGAGTGTGACAGGCAACAGTGCAGGTGTCAGGCGGGTGCGACAAGCAACAGTGCAGGTGTCAGGTGAGTGAGACAGGCAACAGTACAGGTGTCAGGTGAGTGTGACAGGCAACAGTGCAGGTGTCAGACGAGTGTGACAGGCAACAGTGCAGGTGTCAGGTGAGTGTGACAGGCAACAGTGCAGGTGTCAGGTGAGTGTGACAGGCAACAGTGCAGGTGTCAGACGAGTGTGACAGGCAACAGTGCAGGTGTCAGACGAGTGTGACAGGTAACAGTGCAGGTGTCAGATGAGTGCGACAGGCAACAGTGCAGGTGTCAGGTGAGTGCGACAGGCAACAGTGCAGGTGTCAGGTGAGTGCGACAGGCAACAGTGCAGGTGTCAGGTGAGTGCGACAGGCAACAGTGCAGGTGTCAGGTGAGTGCGACAGGTAACAGCGCAGGTGTCAGGTGAGTGCGACAGGTAACAGCGCAGGTGTCAGGTGAGTGCGACAGGCATCAGTGCAGGTGTCAGGCGGGTGCAACAGGCAACAGTGCAGATAACAGTGCAAGTGTCAGGTGAGTGCGACAGGCAATAGTGCAGGTGTCAGGTGAGTGCGACAGGCAACAGTGCAGGTGTCAGGCGAGTGTGACAGGCAACAGTGCAGGTGCGACAGGCAACAGTGCGACAGGCAACAGTGCACGTGTCAGGTGCGGGCGACAGGCAACAGTGCACGTGTCAGGTGAAGGCGACAGGCAACAGTGCAGGTGTCAGGCGAGTGCGACAGGCAACAGTGCAGGTGTCAGGCAGGTGTGACAGGCAACAGTGCAGGTGTCAGGTGAGTGCGACAGGCAACAGTGCAGGTTTCAAGTGAGTGCAACAGGCAACAGTGCAGGTGTCAGGTGAGTGTGACAAGCAACAGTGCAGGTGTCAGGTGAGTGTGACAGGCAACAGTGCAGGTG